TAGCAAACTGGCTTCTCTCATCCAGCCTCGGGTCTCTCCTGTATCCCCAGGCCCCGCTCTCCAGCCAGGGGTTCCGATCCCGGCGCCCTGGTCAGCCTCGCCGCTGGGGCCTTTCCCGGTGGCTCTGAGCCCGCCCTGGCCCCCAGGCCCGGATCTGCCCCGTCTTGCGGGCATCAGGCGATCCGGCAGGATCTGCACGCGGCCGCTGACTTCTCCCCGGGAACTCCGGCCGGCGTCTCCCGCCGCCCCTGACCCCACCCCTCTCCCGCAGCCCTCTGGCGGCGCCGCCCCCCCAGCCGGGCTCGGCGGCGGCAGAGGCGGTGCCGCGCGGGCCGGGATTCTGGGGCGCCTTCGCCAGCAGGTGGCAGCAGCAGCAGGCGGCCGCGGCGTCCATACTGCGCGGCGCAGAAGCCACCTCGGAGCCGAGCGCTGAAGCCGGGGAGGAGGCTGTGGAGGACGCCGCCGAGCGCCCCGAGCCACGGGAGGCTGACCCCGCGGCCGGCTTCAAGTGGGGCTTCCTCACCCACAAACTGGCCGAAATGAGGGTGAAGGCCGCGCCCAAGGGCGACTAGCCGGTCCGCCGAACTGAGCACCTGCTCTTCCTCTCCCGTCCATAAACGCCCTGCGCGACGCCCGAGTGACCACGTGCTTTTGTTCAGACAGCGAAGGCTCTTTGGCGGGGGAGAGGGGCAGCCTTACGGTGGGGTACAGCTAGAGGGGTTTCACCTCCTTCCCCCACAAACAAAGGTAGAAAATGGCCAGAGACAATCCAGGATAGATGGTGTTTGATTTAGGGTACAAGTTTTCAAGGAGCAGGAAGCCCCAGAGGACGGGCCCTCTGGCCCTGGCCCTGTCCAGACTTTTAATTCAACAAAGGTGGCTGATGCCCTACTGTGCGTCCCGTGCACGAAGGTGAGTTACTAGGCGAGAACTCACTGTCAGTGGTTCCCACACACAGTGACGAACTGAGGAACAAATGTAGGGCTGTACTTGAGACTTCAGCGGGGGTGAGGCCACAGGAATGCTTGGACAAAAACGAATCTATGTAACTTAGCAGAATGCATGGGCAGGGGTAGATAACCCAGGTAAGGGGAGGCCGTGAACAAGACCTGCAGGAAAGACAGGTGCACTCGAGCGTCTTTGAGCGAAAAGAAGACCGAGGCGGAAGGTGAGGCCAAGAGTTGGCAACCAATTCTGGCTCAAAACAGTGACCCTTGGTCTCGGTTCTGGGTCCTCCACGTGTCAGCTACTCGTCTCTAGTAACCAATAGGGGGCAGCAGAACTCCAGGAACTGGGGTCTCTGAAGGGCGGTGGAGCCCAGATTTCCGGAGTGGACCTCCCCCGGAACGCGCAGTGGCCGGCTCCCGGCTGCAGTTTGGACACACGGGTGGAGACACCACAGTTTTGGTACCAACTCGGCGGTGGTCGCCGGCCATCTTCATTGTTCATGCGCCTACCGAGCACCTCCAGTACGCCGCGCGCGCTGCCCTGCGCTCCTGTGGCCATTTCAAAAACGCTTGATGACCAAGGCGGGCAGTTGCGGTCCGCAGAGGCGAAGGGCTCGCCCAGTCACAGGCTCAGCCTGGAACCACACTCCAAAGTCCCCGCGCGCGCGTAAGCAGACCACCGCCCCCTTCCGCGACAGTTTGCTAATCCAGCCCCACGGCCTGTTTGAACCACGTTGGCTTTATTCAGCAGGTTCTCCAATCTCCACCCCAGCTTTTACCCCTCACATCCGGGGCCACGAGGCCGCCCCTTCCCCTCGGAGCGGAGAAGGGCCTCGGGGACCTTTCTGACCCATCCCCAGGGTTCGCGTGGGGAACCCAGCCCCAGAGGGAAGGACGGGTTTGCCCGGCGGCCCCCTGCGCGTCCGTCCGAGGGAGGCGTCCGCCCCGCCCGGGTCCTGCCCGCGCGGCCCCTCCC